GTCTAGCTGTCTAGGTGTAGTTGAACTTTTTTGCTCCAAAGTCTACGGGTTGTGTAATCCAAAATCCAAACCCAACCCAAAAGAGGCGGGTTGTACAAAAGAAAATCCTCACCCAACCCAAAACCTTCGTTTTAGCGATAAATACGGGTGGGTTGGGTCGGGTTGGACGGATGGATCGGTTTGCGGGTGTGTTTGTTCACCCCTACCAAAGGATAAGATCCAGTGACTAAAGGGAGGTGTTTTGTCAAATGATCAAGTCTCTCATAGTCTTTAGATTTAGATACACAAATTTAATTGTTAAAACAAAAAAATAGCTATTTATTTAGTGAGAAGGGTAACTATGGGGTTATAAAAAGTTGATTTTCTTACTGAGTTTATTTATTTTCTTTCCCTCACTCATCATTTTCGAGCGTTCCCCTCTTGCTTTTTCTTTTACCAATCCTTTTGTTTTTTTATTTTATCTTATTTATATTATTAACTAAAAAATATTATAAAGTACTATCCCAAAGTATGCAACGGAGAACAGAAAAGTATATAGACTATAAATACAAAGTGTACAACCATAGAATAAAAATATATTAACCAACAATAAAAAAATATACAAACCAATACAGCAAGAGAGAACCCTACCTGCAACATATTCACTAAAAACTAAAAATCAATGTATTAGGTAATCTCTCAACTTAGCTTATTTGATAGTTCCAACATGCAACATATTATGAATATATAACATTCAAATGAAGAGCCTTACTATACTCTAAAGTATTGAGGTTTCGAGATATAAATTGAAATTATACCATAAAGGTATAAATTTCTTTTCTATCATAAAAGAATTTATAATTTTATGTTAGAATATGTATTCATTTTGTATCATAAAATAAATGTACAAATTCATTTTGCGACATAAAAGAATTTTTACAAAAAAATGTACAAACTAAATTTGTACTATAACGTCAAAGGTACAAGCTCAGTTTGTATCATAAAGGGTTTTTCTTGAATAGAAGCACAAATCTATAAAGCATTCTAAAATTTCTCTCAAATTAATAGGGCGGAAGTACTATAAATATATATATAATTAAGTTTTACTTAAAATTTTAATTAGGAGTCAAATAAGTAATTTTTCTTTATCAACGCAATATTATACGAGCACTTCTACTATGCTATAAAGTATTGGTGCTTTAATGTATAACTTTAAGTTGTACCATAACATTAAATGTATAAGTTTAGGTTGTACCATAAAGGAATTTGTACCCTTATGTTATGGTACAACTTTATAACTTAAAGTTGTACCATCACATAAAGGTACAAGTCAAATTGTACCATAAAAGAATTTCTACAAAGAGTATAGATACAATTTGAAGTTGTACCATGTACAACTTTAAGTTGTACTATAAAGACAAAAACCTATAACAACAATACTATATAGGAATTGTATTATACAAGTTGACAGGTAGACACTAGTTTATTATTTAATCACCCTTTTTCCACTTTACTGATATGCACCAATATGATCTGCCGAATCATCATCATCATTGCACAGGGAAGGAAGGAGTTGATCTCCTCGTGCGCAAGTGACGATTATTTAAATTTATTTTTCCAATTATTGAATTTTTATTCGATCATTTTATCTTATGTAATAATGATAAACTTAGCTCAAAAATTTACTACTTGGCCTCAAAAATTTACTCCCGCTATACGAACTTTGATGAGGTCCGCTGCTTGTCCCGTATAATTTAATCCAATTCTTATATTTCCTCATTATGACTATAAAAGATATTCTCCCAAGCTCGTTAGCATCGAGTAGCTTGGAGTGGCTACTTGTCCTCTTTAATTCACTCGCTCGAGTGATGGCCCAAAATTTTGATTCAATTTATTGGTCTAGCTCATTCAGTACTTGGTGTTGGACCCTAAATCGAAATCGAGGTATCACCTTATGTACTCCTTCTACTTAGGAATTTATCTTTCCTTTACTTTCACAGCCCCTTTATCGATGCTTGGTTCTAGCTTTGATACCCGAATTGCTAAGTTGTCTGTCTAACTGGGGAACTATCACAGTTCAGAAACTCAAAACTGTTCCATTGTGAACACATTTGGAAGGTTCAAGAATGAACAAAAGAAGAGAAAAATTTGCAGTTGGTTGAGCCCGAAAGGCCATTGTTTTTCTTTCGCAGAACACAACTTGTCCTAGTAACTGTCGCTTTCTCTTCTCTCATTCAAGATATTCGTCGAATGAATTGATGAGCGAAACCCGAACAAGGATAGATGTGATTAAATTGGCAATGCTCTTTGCTTTTGCCCCATTTTGCACCACTCTATTATTTAAATTTTTCGCCCTAAGATATGTAAACTGACCAAAATGCCCTTGGGTGGGTTTTAGGGTTTTAGGGTTTAAAACCCATATATTGTAGTAGGACATAATGGTCCTACACTTTTCCACTCTTTGTAGAGACAAAGAGTGGAAACATCAAACAAAAAACTAATCAAATCCCACACCACAACAATTCTCAACTATTCTCTTCTTTATTGGTGAGTTTTATTTGGATTCGGCAAGATTATTGGAGCCAAAAGTACACTTGGCAGTCAAGTATTCGATCAAAGGTATGCTGCATTATTCTTTTTTTTTCCTGGTTTTACGAGAACAAACGCTTTGAAATTATGTTCGCGCCGCCGGAGAGGCAGGTTGAAAATACCTCTCTCCATGGGGGAAACGGGTAGACAACATGTCCGTTCCTCTTATCAAGCATGTAATTAACATGCCTGATCCATCAAACGGGCGGGTAGACAGCATGCCCGCGTCAGTGGACAGGTGGGCAGACAACATGCCCGCGTCAGTGGAGAGGCGGGTAAGTAACATGCCCGTGCTGATGGAGAGGCTTGTAGTTGACCTGTCCGTGCCGCCGCCTCACCCTTCCGGATACATGTCGTTCCATGGACAAGGCGGGTAGACAACCCGCTTGGCCTACGGTATAATCCCGTAAAGAACATGCTCGCTCACTGGTAGAGGCATCTGCGCAGCACGTTTAAACCATTGGGGAGTCATGTTTTTCACATGCTTGGGGCCGGTTTTTGTGATTTTTTAGATGGACTTTTGTGAATTGTTAGACAAATTTTGATGAAATTCAATTGAAATATATTATATGTTCATTACATTTTGTTTTTTTGTTGTGCTTGTAGGAGGGAGGACAAAGTGTAGAAGCCTCTTTCGCTATCATCATCAAATAACAAGTTTAAAATGAGTGATTCGGTAAATACCTTATTTCTTTGTTGTTTAATAGTTAAATTAAATTATTGCAACATAATTGTTTCAAGACTAACGTAAATATTTATACGTGTATTTTTTGTAGGGAGGTTTTGGAAATGATAAGGGTGACAATGTTGATTACACCTCATTTTTCATAAATGATGTTGTTTATGATACCCATGATGATGCTTGTGCGGCTGCAAGGGAGATTGCCATGAGAAATAGGTTTTTCTTGATTGTGGGTCAGTCAAGCAAAATCACTCATTAGAAAAATATCCGCGGTACTATATGGATTGCAACCATGGCTATAGGAACAAGTCATATACTCCTGATTTGGCAAAAACAACACGGGGCAAATCTAAAACAGGTAAGTCTGATTGTCGTTTCCGAGTGGTAGTGCGTTGTTCATTGGTAGATGGCAAGTGCGAGTGGAGAATTTTTGGTGTTAAGGACAAAGATAATCCGGGTAAGTCGAGAGGATTTCACAATCACAAATTGGAGGTTTATTCTGAAGGAAGTAGGCAAAGGAATTATCTTTCGAAAGAGAGAAGAATGGATATTAAGGAGATGGAGGCAACACATACTCAAGCAAGAGATATTAGGAGTTTTGTGAATAGGAAGTACGATGCTCATCACCATATGAAGCAGATTTATAACGAGACAGAAAAGATTAGGCATGAGAGATTGGGTGGCATGAAACCTATGCGGTGGACATTGATAGAAGCTCAACGTCTCGATTACTTTGTTGAGTGCGAGTTTGATGATGAGCGTCGTGTTTCTAGACTCTTCCTTTGCCATCCAGAGTCTATTCGGATGTTGAGCGCATGGTATTTCGTCATTTTGATAGACTCAACTTACAAGACCAACAAGTATAAGCAGCCACTAGTTCAGTTGATTGGTGTTAGTCCGGTGAAGAAGAACTTCAATATTGGGTTTGCATTGGTGTCGGATGAGACGAAGGAGACATATGCTTGGGTTTTGATGCAATTGAAGCATCTGCTTGGTGATCGAACACTGGATGCGTTTGTTACCGATAAGGAGGGAGGTTTGGGTGTCTCATTGCGACAGATCTTTCCATCTTCAGCTCATTTACTATGTGTGTGGCACATGAAGAGGAACATTGAAGCTAAAATGTTGTCTTTTAGGATTAGTCGTGATTCTGCAGAGTGGTTTATAGAAGGTCCATGGGGGAGAGTCTTGAATGCCAATACCGAGGCAGGGTTCCAACGGCGTTAGCGAGACTTGCAAAATGGTCATTGGGGTAGAAACGAAAAGTTGATGGACTACCTCAGAAGTGAGTGGATACCATGCGCGGAAAGGTGGGCTCATTGCTACACCAATCGTGTCTTCCATATTGGCAACACAAGCACAAATAGGGTAGAGTCAATGCATTCCTCTTTGAAGAAATGGCTTGCCACTTCGACCCACAAGATCGATACACTCTTCCTCAGATTTCATACATCCGTCGAGGGAAGAGTGATTGAATTGAAGAAGGACTTAGAGGCATCGCTTTCCAAGGTATTTTCATTTTTTTGCTTATTTAAATTAGTACTTCCCTATATCCTCAATTTGATTTTGACTTAGAAATTCATGATTCGGAAAGGTATTTGCATTAGCCTATGGACCGCCATATGGAAACTTGAATAAGGAAGTAAGCTTGTGGGCGATTGAGTTGATGATGGAAGAACGAGAGAGGGAAATCGTTCGGCGATGTGGATGTCGGCTACCTGAGACACATGGTCTACCATGTAAATGTAAGATGGATGAATATAGTGTTGCCGGCGTAGAGTTGTATCCCTACCACTTGCATCGATTCTGGTCATCTTTGGTGTATGAGAGTCCTCCCGATCGTGCCGAATGGGAAGACCATGATGCCATTGAGCGTAACATTTTTACAGCAATGGTGGAGGATGTGTACAAACAAGGGCCAGCTGCTATTCGGAAGGCAACTCAGATACTACGACCCCATATTCATCCTCAAGTTGAAGGCCTACAAGAGCCTAGGGAGTCAGAGGCTCAAAGGGGACGACCACCTAAGAGGGCCAACGCCCGAGATCCTTCTTCGTTTGAGCATGAGAGGGCAAGGGCAGAAAAGAGGAGCAAAACAAATCAGAGCCCGAGGACACCTAGGAGCAAAACAAATCAGAGCCCGAGGACACCTAGGAGCAAAACCCCAACAGGTTAGCATCATTTTAATATTTTTGTGATGATATCTTGTCTCATTTGTGATGATATCTTGTCTCATTTTAATATTTTTGTGATGATATCTTGTCTCATTTGTGATGATATCTTGTCTCATTTTAATATTTTTGTGATGATATCTTGTCTCTTTTGTTGTAGGTGCACGAAAAAGTCAGCATATGCAAGTTCATAATGAGAGAAATGTTTGCCCCTATCTTCGCTATGTCCCACCCAGCATCCACCCTCTTGTTAGAGGTTGGTTTGACCCAGAACCAGACGGGCAATGTGGTTTTCGGGCCATGTCACATGCGATTCATGGAGACGAGGGACACTACCTACAAATGAGACAAGATATCATCACAGAGGTTAGAAACAATTGGGATCTCTATAAGAGAGTTTACCTTTCTAGAGATGGATCGTTGGAGGCAGTAGTTCACAGATTGGATTGTCGGATTGCTGGGAGATGCACCCAAGAGTATTGGTTCGAGGAGGCGGATCTACTAGTATTCGCAACCATGTACAATTGGGCAATTATCGTCTATGGACTATATGGAGGGCGACACACGTATGGGTACACCGCCTTACCTTTGACGGCGCTGGAGGGGGTCACTCAACCAAGTGCTGTTATGGCACTGGTATTTACTGGGGCACATTGGGTCCGACTCATAGTCGACGATGTTGATGGAGTGACACCAATGCCCCCCTTTTCACCACAATGGTCTCATTTTCGGAATATGACATCAATTCCTGATTGGGACTTGTTATACGAGCAAGAGCAGGCATTGTATGCCATTCTCGGAGGACATTATCCAAACGATGATGAAGAGAGTGATTAAGTGTTGTTTCCTTAGATTGTGTTTTTTATTATTATTTTAGTGTGTGCTTTGTGTTCGAAGTTACGTGGAATTAATCAAGTAGTGTATGTTTTGTGTTAGAAAATATGTAGATTTAGGTTAAATTAATCAAGTAACATGTGCAAATTTACTAAAAAAACACAAATATCAAAGATCTAACATCCAAACTTCAAATATGAAACATCCAACATCCAAATATAAAAATAGCAAACATCCAACATCCGGACATCAAATGACAAATATCCAACACCTAAACCTAAACAAACTAGAGTTCCAACATCCAAACATCCAAACATCAAACAACAATGTTCAACATATAACAACTACAAGGTAAGTGGACGGTATGGTCTCTGCTGGCGAAAAGCGATGTACTTGTCACGAACTCGTCGAATCATGTCACCATAAGGACCCAACCTGTCAAGATCCTCATCAGAAGCACGAAGCAAAGGATCAATACCATCAATAATCTGACATGCTAGCTGCAAATGTCCAAGAAATAAAATTTAGTGTTAGTATATCATACCACAGTAGTATAAAATGTTATAAATAAAATTTACCAATAGGGGAAAAACATAGAAACTAACCATCTCATACGTCAACAACGCCACCTCCTGCTGCTCACCATCTCTGGGGGGGACAATGCAAGGGTGAGTGCGCAAAGTGTACCACTTAAGGTACTCTGGGTCAACGGATCCTGTGTCGTCAAAAGGTGTAGAGTAGGCATCCAAATTGATCAGCTGACCACGAGACCTCCAAAGCTGATCGAGGTCGGCCCCAAAAACGACCCTATAGGTCCCTACAGCAGGTCGACTGACACGAGATGGTCGAATAGGAGGATCAGGGATCACCTGTCTATACCCAAACTGACGGAGAGTGCGTGAGGGATCGTAGGCCTCAGTCACGTCATAGATACGTATCACCCCCCGATACAAAGATCTAGGTACCGCACGGCCAGGGTGGGCACCAAAAGGAAGCCAGTCCACGTGGTCCGCTGTAAAGCCATCCAACAGTCGACGATAATGATCCAACCGTCGTGGAACCTCACTAGGCCCCCCTCCATGAACGGGACCCTCCCACCTCCTAGCCAATGGGTCTCCCTGTGCCACGGTCTGTGGTGCAGCTCTGTTAATGCGCAACGATGGAAAATACTCATAGATCCAAGCCTGTAACAAGGTCAAGCACCCAGAAAATCCTTTAGATCCTGCTCGACTAGATCTCCCAAGCTGCCTATACATCCAGGCAAGCACACCAGCACCCCATGCATACTTACTAACTATCTGCAAATCTCTGAAGTAAGAGTACAACCATCCACGAACACGATCAGAACTCTTATCCACAAAAAGCGTGGACCCTATCAAACACATTAAATAGCATCGTGCCTCAGCATCCCCATCCTCCCTAGCATGTAGACGTGTCATGGCCTCATCTACCAACATCCCACCACCGTCATACCAACGGATGCCACGCGCTGCCACTGCATTCTTCTCTGGAATCCTAAGAAGATCAACAATCCCACTCACGAACGACGGATCACCCTTAGCTGGTGCAGCAAGTAACTCTCCATCAACTGGAATCTGGAGCAGGAATGAAACATCGTGAAGAGTGATCGTCATCTCCCCGAACGGTATGTGAAACGTGTTGGTATCCGGCTGCCACCTCTGAATAAACGCCTCCAAGAGAGGGTAATCCACACTATGCATCATGCAACTACTCAAGTGGTACAACTTAGATGCCCTAACCAAGTTCTCTACACGTGGAGTCGAGAACTTATACAACCTCAGTCGATCCACTCCACCCTGCCGAGTGTAGAACTGATACTCAGACATCACTCGAAAATCCAAACCCAAAGTCCACAAACGATGGCTTATGTGACCACCGAAACTAGGGATCAAACTGTGGTCACTCGGACCCCCAGGACCTGCTCCTGTAAGCAGCCATGTCTGATCCACCAACTTCTTCCGTGAAGGGACGCTCCCACTAGATGATGAAGCAAAACGACCATCCTTACCACGTAGCGGCCCAACCCGAGTACTAACATGGGTCGAGCCAGTAGACACGTGATCGCTCGAACCCACAGGATGGCCCTGGTAAAAAGCATCAGGAAACGGCAACAAATCACCCTCCTCATCACCCTCCTCATCACCCTCATCACACTCATCATCACTGCTCGTGGCATCCTCCACCAAGTCATCATATGTGTTGATGACTCGCATCTGTCGAGAATCATGGCTAGAGGGGGCAGGATCAACTACAGCTTGACGAGCAAGCTTCTCCTGACGCTCCAGCTCAAGAGCTCTATCCTTCTCCTCCTGACGTTTTCTCCGCTCAGATCCAGTAACATTGCGTCCGACAACCCTCGACTTTCCCTTTCTTTCGTTCATTTTTACCAACTATCAAGAAAATAATTTTTTCAGAATTATTATTAATCATCCTAAACTTTTTAACTATTCCTAATAATCATTCACAATCATAAACTTTATCATTCACAATTCAAATCATCATGCTAATTATAATTAACAATTCAAATCAAGTTGATCAAAATTCACATTCTAATGTATGTCGCATAAATAATCATTCACAACTATTATTAATTAAAATCAACAATTCATAAACCTATTCATTTAAATTAATAAAAAAAAAATTGGGCAGACCAGAACCAGGCCGGTTGGAAAACCAGACCGAACCGGGCCGGGCGGGTCGGATACCCGACTGGACCGGGTCGGGGCGGGTTGGCGACCCAGCCACCGCCCGACGCAGGCGGATACCCTGCCCGCCTCAACCAGGATCCGGCCCTTCCATCTCCCTGCTTTATACGGCGACGGGCGGGTTGAAAACCTGCTGCCGGCGGGCAATAGACAGGTCTTCGACCTGTCTATTGCCCGCCGGCAGCAGGTTTTCAACCCGCCCCATTTATATTCACGAAAAAGAAAAAAAAAGTGGAAAGAACGAAGGAAAGGGCGACTCACCTTCTCCCGGCGACGACGACAATGGCGAGGAGAGGAAGTCGTGGATCGGCGGCGTTGCTGGGAAGAGTGAACGGCGGTGGCGCGAGCAGAGGAAGTCGTGGATCGGCGGCGTTGTTGGGGAGAGTGAACGGCGGCGGCGCGAGCAGAGGAAGGCGGATCGGCGCCGCGAGCAGGGAGATGGAAGGGCGGCGGCGCCGCGAGCAGGGAGATGGAAGGGCGGCGGCGCTGCTGGTCGGAGGAGGCGGGCTGTCTACGAAATGGAAAGAAGGGGGGAGGCGGCGGGTTGTCTTCGAAATGGAAAGAAGGGGGAGGAGGCGGCTGCTGCCTCTGCTGATGGGAGTGGGGCGATTGGGGGTAAAATTAGGTTAGGGTTGTTTTTTTAAGTTGGGGGTAAAATTGTCCCTACAATAAATTTAGGGCGATTTATTTAAAAATTTAGGGCGACGAATAGAAGTTCAGTAACACATAAGCATGCAGTTAGTTCTCAATATCTTGCAATGCAAGAAACTAAAATGGAAAGACAGGGGAGTAAGTTACTTCTACTCACATATTAGTTGAAGTGAAGCTAGCTTGGTCCCTTTCTTTTCTAATCTCAACCTGTTGAAGCCTTTTCGTTCTTCATGATCATATGGAACGATTTCACGCGATCTTCCTGTTAGTGGATTTGGGCTTCTAGCCCATTGTTGTATAGTATGTCGAGTGTAATTGGGTGTAGCCACAGAAACTAGCCCTAGCGAGAACTTGAGTGAGCTAGGGTTAGGTGGTAGTATTTATGTACAGCAAGGGTCTTGTAATCAAACTAAGAAAACTAATAAGACGATCAGCTCGGAGAGTTCTAGCTCTCCCGTGGACTAGTCCCGATATCGGGGAAACCACGTAAATCGTGTGTCGAGTTTTCTTCTTCAATTTCGTATAAAGCTATTGAGTGTTTTGATACTGTCTAACATGGTATCAGAGCTTTCGTCTTTGGATTCGGATAGGGTTGCGGTTCGTTTGAACTCCAAGAACTATGCATTATGGGAGTTCCAGTTTCGGATTTTCATCGAAGGAAAAGGCTTTCTTTCTTTTCTGGACGGTACGTCACAGCGGCCTACGGTGCCGCCTTCGTCTCCTGAAGAATTGGCTAAGTGGAATCAAACGGATGCCAAGGTGAAATTTTATCTCCTCAACACCATTGATCCCACGATTTGTCTTGGTCTCCGTATGCTACAGACGGCGAGAGATATATGGGTACATCTCGCGCGTACCTATACTACGGCCGATCCTGCTTGGCAATTTGAAATTCAATTTAAGTTGGCACGTCTTGAACAAGGCGATCTGGATGTGACCTCGTATTACAATGAGGCGCAATTATTGTGGACCGAAGAAGATTTACTAACAGCACAATTGAGTTCCGCTCAAGCTTCTGCGGATGTACTTCAAGATCGACAACGTACTCGTCTGATGCAATTTCTTAGTCGGCTTAAACCCGACTTTGAATCTGTGCGTGCTAGTTTACTGCAACGAGATGGTCTAAAAATTGATGGTGTCCTTGCTACTCTTGTCCGGGAAGAAACCCGTCTCCGAACGCAAGCTCAGCTGGATCTACGTCCCGGAGCTGGCGAAGCAGTGTTCGCGGTATCGGGTCACAAGGCTGCTGGTGGTTCGGCTCCCAGGAACGGACCTGTTCAGATAGACAGCGATGAAGCTTTTGCTGTGGGTCGCCCTCCTTTTCAACGTCGCATGTCCGAGGTTATATGTCATCACTGCCGTCAGCCGGGTCATTTACAAAAGTTCTGTAAGCAACGAAATTTTTGCGTGTATTGTAAAAAGAAGGGCCACATTATCACGGACTGCCGATTAATTCAGCCACGTTCGTCTAGCGGATCGTCGACCCATGCAGCCCCTCCCACTGGTGGTGCTTATGTTGCCCAGCCAGCGGTTGCTGCAGCTGCTGCTGCCGCACCTTCTCCAGGGCAGTACATGACTGCGGAGGCAGTGGAACAGCTCGTCCACTCAGCATTGCAACGCTCGTTACCTACTGCCATCACCAGCGCATTCGCAACTCTTCACAATGCAGGTATCTCCCCTCCGTGGTTGTTAGATTCTGCATGCTTTAACCATATGACGGGTAACTCTAAAACGTTTAAGAATTTGAATTCGACGGAGTCTGGTTCTATTCAAGTTGCAAATGGCCAACGTTTGTCTATTAAGGGTGTTGGTGATGTTGTTGAACCTCGCTTGACATTATCTCGTACTTTATGTGTTCCGAATCTTGTGCCTAATCTTGTTTCTGTTGGCCAACTGATTGAGCAAAATTGTCGTGTGGTGTTCGACCCCTCGGGGTGTGTGGTTCAGGATCTGACGACGGGGAGGCAGATCGGAAGGGGGAGTAAACATGGGTGTGTGTTCCAGCTTGAAGAATTGTCGGGTCAACCTCCATCTCGGTCATCTTCCATAGTCGAATCTCGTGCATCTACAGTCCCTCCAGTTTTTTCGAGTTTAAACACTAGTGAGTTTGATTTGTGGCATTCTCGTTTAGGTCACCCTCATTCGAGTCGGCTTGTGACCATGTTTAAACAACAACTTTTCGGCAATAAAAAGGTTGATATTTCTTCGGGCAATTTTCAATGTACGAGCTGTGTTGAAGCTAAAGCCACTCGTAGTTCTTTTCCCTCTAGCACTACGGTAATTATTGATCCATTCCAAATTGTTCACACGGATCTCTGGGGCCCGTCGCCTACCGACTCCCGTCATGGTTACAAATACTTTGCATTATTCGTAGATCATGCCACTCGTTTTACTTGGGTCTATTTCCTTCGTCTTAAATCTGATCTTCTCTCTGTTGCCACCGATTTTTTGAAAATGATTCACACTCAGTTTGGTCAGACAGTTCGTGTAGTTCGTTCAGATCCGGGCGAGGAATTTAGCTCTCATCCTTTAGCTAGTCTGTTCCGATCTCAGGGAATTTTAACTCAAAAATCGTGTCCCGGTGTATCTCAGCAAAATGGTCTTGTCGAAAGAAAGAATCGTCATGTAGTTGAACTCACTAGAGCCATGTTGTTAGCTTCCCATGTTCCAGCTCGTTTTTGGCCAGAAGCTGTGGCTACTGCCGTTCGTCTGATCAACTATCAAATTACCCCCGTTCTTGGTCAGCTTAGTCCCCACTATGTTCTATTCAAAAAGCATCCTGATTACTCTCGGTTAAAGGTGTTTGGGTGTACTTGTTTTGTTCTTCTTCCTCGAAAAGAAAGGTCTAAGTTGTCCTCGAAAACGTCCCGATGTGTGTTTCTCGGTTATAGTGACATCCATAAGGGATACCTGTGTTATGATCCGTCTCTCCAACGTCTTCGTATTTCCTGTGATGTGGTATTCTTTGAGCGTCTCATGTTTTTCTCGAGCCCTTCGGAAGAATCTTCCTTCGTGTCTGAGGTGACCCGACTGCCCGTGTTTGACGACGATGATGAGGTGGCCGATGACGATGATTTGGGCTTCTAGCCCATTGTTGTATAGTATGTCGAGTGTAATTGGGTGTAGCCGCAGAAACTAGCCCTAGCGAGAACTTGAGTGAGCTAGGGTTAGGTGGTAGTATTTATGTACAGCAAGGGTCTTGTAATCAAACTAAGAAAACTAATAAGACGATCAGCTCGGAGAGTTCTAGCTCTCCCGTGGACTAGTCCCGATATCGGGGAAACCACGTAAATCGTGTGTCGAGTTTTCTTCTTCGATTTCGTATAAAGCTATTGAGTGTTTTGATACTGTCTAACACTTCCTCCACCATTTCCCTCAGCACATTATCTTCGATCTTCTCTGCTTGCCACTGCGAGGGGTCTTCAACAAACGCCTCGCTGAATATCATGCACGACACCCACTCTTTCCACGTCGTCCTCCTGTACTTGTCCTCTTCAAGCGTCCCATTCGCAAGCAACTGGTACACGTAAACGACCTTTTGTTGGCCTGGAAGAAAGGCACGAGCAATGGCTTGCTTCGTCTTGCTAGGATTCCACTCGAAGTCCATCAGTATCACTCTTGAAGCTGTTGTCAGGCTGATCCCTTCAGCACAAGCTGTGATTGACGCAAGAAGAATCTTGGAACGTCCACCTGGCTCCTCGAACTTGTTGATGATCCTGCCTCTCTCGAACAGCTCGAGATCACCGGTGAGAATCATAATCTCCGTCCCTCTCTGCCACCCAAATATGTTCTCAAACAGCTCAGTGAGGAGATTAATGGGCGCAATGTTGTGGCAGAAGATCAAGGCTTTCTCCTTCCTCACTATCCTGTACACCAGGTTCAGAATAAATATGATCTTCGACCCTTTCTTGAAGTCGAACTTCAGCTTCTCAAGCTCCATTTGTTCAGGCATACATGTCGAAGAACTTGTGGACGCAGTTCGATGTCTTAACCAGCCAAGGGTGGATTGAAGCAAGATGAGCTCAAGCTCCAATGGGTAACCATTGTAGGTAGCCATAATGTCATAGAGCCTGTTCAGAATCTCGTTCTGTATATCTGTGGAGTTCATCAGTATAGTATATATCTGCAAGCCAGGAAGGCCATCAGAAGCCCCACCTTCATAAACATCCATGAAACGATTCGTCATGTTTCTCAGCACATTCAGACCTTCCATTCTTTCTTCTGGCACACCTGAATCAATCTTGCTAGCAATGTTATCTATGAAAAGCTTCCTTGCTCGAGCTTCCAGAAGGTGTCGAGCTTTCTTAGGCCATTTCTTTGCTTTGTACTTTGGGTCTAACTTCCTCAACACTTCTCTGATGAACTTTGGCCTTGCAAGGCAAAGTGTGTTGAAGTACTCGACGAAATTTTCAGATTAGCTAGAGCTTAGGGTTTAGCGGAAGAGAGACGACGGCACAATGAATTAGGGAATGCACAAAGAGAAAGGTTCTCTCTGGCTTTGTTTATATATCATCCAAGTAGTGTCAAGCTCAAGATACAAAACAGTGAGAATGGAAATGATAAAACAGAAATTCAAAATAACAATAATGGTAAAAGCCACTTGGCACAGTCTCATTCGTCATAACTCATTCCACCCAACGGTAAGTTAACAAAACTCCACAACGGCGTCGTCTTGTTCCTCGCTTAAGTTGGATGGAAGGGAACCCAGAAACGTTTCCGTTTCTGGGTGAGGTTTCTTCTTCTTCGTTTCTTCAGCAAGCTCTGCAGTCTTCATCTCTGTTACTCTGCAGAGTGTCTTCTTCATCTTCTCCACTTGATAATCCCCCACAAGCTGGCGAGTAAGCATTGTGAACTCCCAGCTTGTCCAACAAGTACTTCAATCTGTATCGAGTCATGCCCTTTGTAAACAGATCCGCCACTTGATCATCAGTTCTAACGTGAAACAGCTCGATCAATCCTGACTTCAATCTTTCTCTTGTAACATGGCAATCGATTTCAATGTGCTTTGTTCTCTCGTGAAAAACTGGGTTTTCAGCGATGTGCAAAGCAGACTTATTGTCACAAAACAAAGGAATGGGTAAAGGTACCTTAATTCCCATCTCTGAGGAAGAACGTGACACAGTAGTTTGTTTCTTAGTTTTCCAAGTTATCAATGAAGATCCCAAAAATGTACAGTAACCAGTAAGAGATCTCCTTGAATCAGGGCAGCTTGCCCAGTCAGCATCACAATATCCAGAAAGTTCAAGTTTGGAATCTGCCCTGAAAATCAAACCTTGTCCAAGAGTTTGTTTAAGATACCTGATGACTCTGTGTGCAGCTTGCAGATGTTCAGTACAGGGTAGGGGTGGGATTTGGTCGGCAAACAATTTACCGTTTACCGAATTTACCGGTTTCGGTATACCGAAGTTGGCCAAACTGGTTACCGATTACCGATACCGGTTTGTAACCGGTTTACCGATTACCGAATTACCGGTAAACGGTTACAAACCGGTATTACCGAAATACCGTGAGAAGCGATTTCAGGCGGTTTTTCGGTCGGTTTACCGAATATTTACCAAACCGAATTTCTGGAAGTGGGTTGATGTTGTAATATTTTGATTTTTTTGAGTTTTTTCCATCATTTTTATAATTAATAATTTATTATTAACTCTTATTTACAATATTTTTGAGGCCTATATTTACATTCATGTATGTAATATTTTATATTTTTGGGGGTTAAACAACAAAACGCAGCGCAGTACTAGGGAGTAGGGAGGGGGGGATTCGGTATCGATAATACCGATTTACCGTCGGTATTTACAGATACCGTGTCGGGTAAACCGACTCCCCCAACTTCCCGCTCGGCTACCGATACCGCCGGTAAACGGTTTACCGTTTACCGTCGGTTACCGATTCGGTAAAACGGTAAACCGTTTACCGGATTACCATTTACCACCCCTAGTACAGGGTGCAGCCTGGAATTGAGCAAGTTGCTGTACAGCATAGGTTATATCAGGCAACAAGTCACCTTGCTCTGTGGAGAACTTGGCATTGCAGTCCACTGGAGACAAACAACCCTTAGATTCTACAAAACCAGTGTCATCAAGTAACTAAAGACAGTATTTTCACAAATCACACATCACAGATCAGCACTTCCAGGTTGTCCTGCTCCTCACCTCCCCTGCATTCTTCATTTCTTCAATTGCAGGCCTCATTTCTTCAGCAGCAAGACACAGGTAGCTTGCATTTGTCCCAGCTGAGGTTGAACTGCAACACTCCTCCTTGCCAATGCCACTGACCATTCCAATCATCTTCTTTAGTTCTTCAAATCTGGTCTTTGGCAGTGACTTGGTAAAGATGTCTGCAAACTGGACTTGAGTTGAGCAGTGAACCAATGAAACCAATCCCTCGGCTTCTGCTTCCCTCAAAACATGGTACTTGATCTTGATATGCTTGGTTCTGCCATAGAACACAGGGTTCTTGGCCATTGCAACTGCAGACTGATTGTCACAATTAATGACAGTTGGTTGCATTTGCTTGAAACTCAAATCTTCCATAATTTTTCTTAACCAAACTGCATGATTCACTGCTTCAGAGCCAGCAATGTACTCAGCTTCAGCGGTTGACTGAGCTACAATGCTTTGCTTCATTGAACTCCAGCAAAAGACAGCTGATCCTAGTGTAAAAGTGAAACCAGAGGTGCTTTTCATGTCCTCAGAAGATCCAGCCCAGTCACTGTCACAGTAACCTTCCAAGCACACTTCCTTTCCACTTTTAAACATCAATCCATGATCAATGGTACCCTTGATGAACCTCAGCAATCTTTTTGCAGTCTTGTAGTGAGTCTGAGTTGGAGCTTGCATGAATCTGGCTAACAAACCAGAAGCAAACATAATGTCTGGTCTGGTAGCAGACAGGTACAGCAAGCACCCAATTAAACTTGTGTAAACCTTGGCTTCAAACAGTCCTGAACCATTCTCTTTTGTGAGTTGAATTCGTACAGTATCAGGTTCTTCAATGCTCACATTGCACCTTTCATAGATGTCTGCAAGTGGTCTCAGCCCTCTCACAGGAGGTTCTTCATCAGACTCATAGTCTTCATCATCACTTTGATCTTCATTGTCAGATTCCAGATCATCAGCTTGATCAGGCTCTTGAATTTCTGGTTCTTGATCAACCTGTGGTTCTGGTTCTTCATCAAAGTCAGTCTAGCCTTGAAATTGAAGAGTGACCAGATCATAAATGTCTTCATTTTCACTTCCATTCAAGGACCAGTTATGAGTTCCATGTTCATCAAAGAAAATATCCCTACTCAACTGGAATTTCTCAGTAGTTGGATTGAAAATTCTATAGGCTTTAGATTCAGTACTATAGCCCACCAGGAGTCCCAGTTCTGATCTGTGATCCAGCTTGTCTCTTTTTGGAGCTGGAACATGTGCAAAACACACTGAGCCAAAGATCCTGAGATGTTGCAAACTAGGTTTGTGACCATGCCAGGCCTCAAATGGTGTTTTGTCTTTCACTGACCTGGTAGTCAGTCGATTAAGCAGGTAGAATGAGGTATTTACTACCTCCGCCCAGAATTTCTTAGGCATTTTCTTCTCAAAGAGAAGACACCTTGTCATTTCCATAACAGTCCTATTCTTCCTTTCACTTACTCCATTTTGCTGTGGAGTATATCTCACTGTAAGCTGATGAAGTACACCCTCAGAAGCTAGAAGCTTTTCAAAGCTTTGAGACGTGTATTCCTTTCCATTATCAGATCTTAGGGTCTTGATTTTGCAATCACTTTGCTTCTCAACAAAAGCCTTAAACCTCTGAAATACTGGTAATGCTTCAGACTTGTTCTTCAAGAAATAAACCCAGCAGAATCTGGTTAAGTCATCAATGAAAAGTATAAAATACTTGCTTCCTCCCCATGATTCCACCTTAAAGGGTCCACATATGTCTATATGAATCAGACCAAGCTTTGCAGGAGCTCTTCAGGTATGTTTCTTAGGGAATGACAATCTGTGTTGTTTGCCTAGTTGACAGACTTGGCAAACTCCTTCTCCTGGCTCCAAATGAGGTAAGTCACTCACCATTTCCTTGTTAGCCATTTTGATTAGAGTTTTATGGCTAAAATGACCTAGTCTACTATGCCAGAGTGTAGACTCATCATTTCTAACCACCAAAGCAGTTTTAACAACCTTCATTTTCAGGGGAAAGCTTCTTCGAACCATTAGAATCTCAAACAATTTGTCACCATTGGGATCAAACACCACACATTTCTTGTTCTGTAACTCTACAGAGTATCCCTTCTCTAACATTTGACCTACACTAAGCAAATTCTGAGCTAGTGCAGGAACATAGAGAACTTCAGAGATTACCTTTGATCCAAAGTCAGTTTGCACAGAAACTGAGCCTTTTCCTTCAAAAGCATGTCTCCATTTCCAATCTTTACTCTTGACTTATAAGACTTATCAAGACTCTGAAAGTACTCCTCACTATGGGTCATATGATTTGTACATCCAGTGTCTAGAAGCCAGTCTTCACTGCTACTGTTTGCTAAGTAGCAAGTGACCATGAACATCCCTTCAGCTTTCTTGTTCTGTTCATTGGCCTCAGCAATAGCAGCTTGCTCTCTAA